TAAAGAAAATGGTAGTCTCTTGCCTATAAGATTGTTATTGACAATTGACCAAAACTAGAAAAGCTTTAGTATTATTACCACTGACGTTATTTAACGCCCCCAACCCCATGGGGACGGTTAATATTTGACCTTCAACGAAGGGGGCCGTATCAAATGGGGTGCCAACAAAGGGGGACCTGATCGATACACTGGGGCTGTCTAAAAGCTTTTAAGTTTACAAACAAATCTGTGTTTACATGTGGACTGGTCAATGTACTTACACATAAATAAATGTTATGTATGAGTGACTTTGACCTTGAAAATAACCGTTACATTAACTACTAAACTAAGGCTGAGTTGCACCATCTTACTTTTACTTTAACAAACGTCAAAATACTGTCAAACTCCATACAAAAAGCACTGGTTATCGTTATACATAGTTACGGTCAAAGTTAGGTGGTGCAACTGAGCCTAAGTATCCATCTATGTTTGCCCTTATCACACACAAAATTACATACATATTTGACTGGTGGAGAATCCATTAATGCTATTAGGACTAGATTAATGACTTGCTGACAAAGTCCCTGATGGGCATTAGGGACTTATCTGCCAGATAAACTGACTATCATAATAACGATAGTCTTTACGTTAATGATGACCATTAGATATGAGTAATAATACGTATGATATAAAATACATAAGTAATCTCTTCTTTTCATCTTTCATTAAATCCCACTGCTGGGATTGTAGAGCGTCCCTGGACTGATTGTTGAAGGATTTTATAGTCAGGCAAGTTGCCTTACTGTCAGTCAGATGTTATCAAACCCCCTAAGGCCATAATTAAACATTTTGCTGGAAGATTAATCGTAGAGTGTAATATCTTCACGGAAATCTAAGCACAAGAGGGTGAAAGTGGAAAGGTCAGATAATCCATCATGTTTCCTGGACGAAGTCACTGGTATTCTCTACTTAAATGAGTAGGTTAAGAATTAAATTTTAAGAAATATTATCATACACTTTCATAAAAAAAAAAACAGAGCTAAATGGGGATATCAGACATAGACGAGTATTTAAAAAAAAACACAACCCACTATAATAATAATTGCTTATACTTTGCCTACAACCTACAGGACAGTAGATACGTAACAATCAATAATTTTCAAGCTTAATGTAAACAAACAAATAATAAATAATACTAATTACTTACTCGTAAAAAAAAAACAATAAATGCAATCCCACTTCACTATGTAAAATCACTGGCCACTCATAAAAATTCACTGTAAAGCCGTATAAAATTAAAAAGTTTTTATTATAAAAACAACGTTTTCCCGCGCAAACGTCACACGAGCGCGCGTCCCGCCATTGTTTTTGTCTATGGCAACATGGCGCGCTCTATTTTTAGTGGAACTTAGCATGGGGTTGTTGCTATAATTTGGGGCAACAAGTGGGTGAATTATCCGATTCGCGCATGCGTGGTGGTCGCTGAGCATAGCACGCAAATAAGCGGGTGTGTACTTGCGTAAACGTTCCAATGTTGGAAAGTAATATTAATAGTACGTAATAGTGATTAGCACGAAAAGATAGGGTAATTTTTGCCTTATTTTACCCTCGAGTAGGTTTAATAATATTAAGTACGATAAAATGTGTCAGACATCAGAGACAAAAAATATAATAATAAAGAAAAGGAAGAGGCCTAAAAATAGTAAGTAATAGGTGTAAGTAATTGGTGATAATTAAAGACGAGTAGGNTTAAATATTATTAGCACGAAAAGATAGGGTATTTTTGCCTTGTTTTACCCTCGAATAGGTTTAATAATATTAAGTCCGATAAAAGTGTCAGACATCAGAGACAAAAAATATAATAATAAAGAAAAGGAAGAGGCCCAAAAATAGTAATAGGTGTAAGTAATTGGCGATAATTAAAGACGAGTAGTTTGTTCGTTTGATTCAGCCAAATGACGTCCACTGCTGGACAAAGGCGAATGTAGTAAAATTATTGAAATCTCGTAAGACTAAATCGTGTCAACAATAACCATCATTGCCAACAATCATTATACCAACATCGCCAACATTGGTGCTTCTACGCCAAGTGTAGAAATAGCGTATTCGCGTGGGGTTGACATTCATATGAGAAAGCATGTGAACGCAGTAATTGTACCATTTACTTACAAGCCTGTGTCCGATGGAATAGAGAAATCCATTTTCCCAACGCTAAGCAGTCTGAATAGTTAAACTTTTGCCAATTTGAAATAACTGCCTGTGAAAATATGAAATAACTGATTTACTCACTGATATTTTAATCATGTTATACAGCTTGAAAGCGAGTAATCACGTTTCCGATACATATTATAATGTTATCATTGGTTATAACTTGAAGCGGAGAAACTTGCAACTCTACAGTTACTTACCAGTACCTAATCTTTGACTCTACATGTGAATTTTCCAGCAGAAAATTTCCAGGTGAAAATCAATAAACTCTACTTACTGATGAGCCACAAGCTGCATTTTTGACCATTGCAGTTTGGCCATAGGTACAGTGGGGTAATGCAGCCAGCATTCTAGACACCACATCGCGTTGTTTGGACTGCGAGCCAGTCTGAGGCTCTGAGCACCCATGTTGTTTGGATAGCGAGAACAATAATTAAAATTAGTTCATAAAGCTTCGGATAATATAAATTTTGATTACAATAGAATTTCTATCCAGTTGCTACATTCTTATGCACAATGAAATTCCATGCTCGTGTGGGGGATACAAGCTCTCTATAAATTACACCATTAGCCGCCCATAAAAATGCCGTCACAAATAGAGTTGATGCACTCATAAAGCAGACGGACAGACAGTGCGTTTTTATATGTATATCATTGTCTCGGGTCAGGCCAGGAAGCGCGCTCGGCGGAGCACGACGTAGCCTTATGGAGTCCCAGGCCTCCATCGTCTTGACCACAGCCTGAGAATTAACAGCCAGTACATTCAGCACTCTCCTCGTTTTCTATGATTCTGTATTCTGTAGTGTGATCACAGAATTCAAGCATTGGCGTAACTAGGGTCCTTTTTAAGGGGGGCCTGATGGGTCACGGGACGGGGGTGGACGGGTGTACAATAGTTCATAGTTCATACATACTATCATCTTCAAATTGGTAGCCCAAAATCATGGAGGAGCCGTGCCACCCCATATTATTCGTAGAAAAAAAAGTACAAATTCAGCCATTTTGATCGACGGGATTAAGTATGTTCCTTTGCTGTGACCACGGACTTGAATCTGTTCTCCCCGGGCTGTACCCTGGGTGAAGCATGGCACGTGTGCCTTTATAACTTAGGGTCCTTAAGATACGATCTGGAAAGTTAAGTAAGTAAGCAACTTGAGAAACAGGTGATACGCATTCAAGGGATTCAACATAAAAGCTTTTAATGTCGACTTGAAATAATCGTAGAATAAATAAAAGTCGCAGTAGTTTTTTCATTGTTACTCTCAATTAAGTAGATTAGTGGGTAAAAGTTAGATAAGCGCCCAGTAGGGGTCAAACAGTAGGTACTCTACGAGAGGAAATACGCATTTTAACGCAATTTGCCAAGCCATTTTTTTCTCACTGTTGCCAGTAACTTGAAAAATCAGTCAATCTGCAACTGCTGGAAGTCACCCCACGCTGTGCTTGCTAAGACATACGCACAGTACCTTACATCTATAACCAGATCTCGTCAACCCACATCGGTCATCAAATATACGACCATGTTCTAGCTCTCCAGCTTTACTCCTGATCAAAGAATTACCTAATAACCATATCGATTTAAAATCTCTACTTGCTTTAAAAAGCCACTGCAATCTTACTAAGAAGGAAATACCCCTTAAAACTACCACAAAAACCAGAATCCATTAATTAAAATCTAAAAAAATCCTGCATTATGTATCAGTCAATTTCCATAGTGTTAAAGTTCATAGTGATCAAGGCACGCGCGTGCGCGAACAAAAACAAACCCCTTGATCCATGACGTTGCGCGTGCATACAGACAGCCTGATTGGAAAGTGCTAGATTGAAAAACAGATTTAATTTAAACTTGAAAGCGAGGCATTATGATTTTAGTCGCTGACCGGAACGGTGAACTGAGAACGATGAACTTTATGAGCTTTTATTGAGCTTTGACTCTGATGTATAGAAAATAATATACCAAAATTACTAACCATGAAAAGTGTAGGTAGATAGTAAAAAACTTCATGTATTCTAAGTTTTGTGTTCGGATGGTGTATAGCTGGAATTAATTAAGATTAAACGATTTTCTTTGATAATAAATTAATATCTTGTCCATGAGGACAACGGTACTTTTTGAATTTAAAATAACTATTGCAACATAACTTACAAGTAATTAAACATGGGCATTTACTTAATAAATACTTTAATGACGTAACAGCTATTCTAAAAGGTCTTAAAAATATCGAATAAAATTAACTCTACCAATTATTGATTTTTGATCTGTCGACATGGATGCGATTGGTTCATCACGCAGCAGAGGTCATGGCAGAAACAGTCATCTCGGTGGGGATCTGTAAGGAATGGAACCGAGTGTAACTGAAGCATTTTATAGAGCATGTTTTATTAAGGGACTGATCATTTTTCGACGTTAAAGAGAGTGGACGTTAAATGGAAGACAGTAGAGCAGAAAACGAAATAAGGAATTTGTCATGAGTTGGTCGTTTTTACGACCAACTCATGACAAACTCCTTATTAGTGAGACGTTTTGTGACCAAAAATAATATGTAAACTCGTTTCATATTTCATTTCGCAATTTAAAGCTTTACATATGATTTAAGTCATGCTGGAATCGAATCCAGAACTCTACAGTATAAGTGCTTACTAAAATGTTAGCTAAGTAAATCATGGTAGAGTCACTATAAATTAAAAACATTTTAACAATTAAAAATATTTATTAAAATGAGTAGCAATTAAAAAATAGATATGTAAAAATGTAAGTAAATAATGTATCACAAATTCGTTACAATCGTATCAAAAAAACCTATAAAATTCTATCAAACTTCAACTTTTCCACATTTCACACAACCTTCGTCGTGGCAGAAGCAGTCATCCCGGTGGGGATCTGAAAGTAACAAAATATAAGCTCTGAAAGCATCTGTAAAAGCTTGAAAAACACAAATTACGATCACTCATTGTGTACCTACTGAGATTGTTTTCGAATTTACCAACCTTGAAGATTTGCATTTATTGAGGTTTCACGTGATGGCAGTAACTGCTATAATTAGTAAGTAGACAGTTTTTATTATACATAGCAAAACTTTTATAGTTCATTCATCCACGAAGACGTGCGGGGTCGAGGAAAGCACGGGGTGCGGGGATCATGATCCGACCAATCCGAGCGTCATCATTGTAGTTTGCGCGCGCACTCACGGACAATGATCCAATGAGGGCTATCGTTTTTATACTTAACAGTTGGCACCCCTGGTGATTGACAGGACCTTACTCTACAGTGGCGCCATCTTGATGAGTGCAAATGCGATAGTCCTCCTACCACTTTAGCGCTCACCAGTTGGTGCCACTGTCTTCGCTACTAGCAAGTGACAGGACCTTACTCTACAGTGGCGCTAACTGGTGAGCGCTAAAACGATAGCCCTCAATGGGGCAACGCTGCCAATGCCAACAATGACGCTCGGATTGGTCGGGTCAAACTCCCCGCTTACCCCGCTACCCCCGACCCCGCGCGTCTTCGTGGATAATACGAACTCTTTAGATTGTCTTTCAGTCCACTTCAGCTTTCAGTTTAAAGAAGAGACTTTAATGAAATAGAAAGCATTGAAGCCTTATCTAGGTTCTTTTAAAAGAGCTCTATCAGCCTAAGACCTACGTTACACGGCTGAGACTTCCGAACAAGTACATTAATAAACCTCAGTCTACCTTCAGTCAAGTCGTCATTATAGTAGATGAGTAGCGCCGGTATGTGCATGTTCTCTGGTAGAGCCACATCGCTGAAGCGGTCCCGTTCATCAGGCACGCCGTTGTCGGCCAGGGTCTTGGTCAGGCACAGTCCCCGGCCCAGGTACCGCCAGGAGTAGGAGAGCATGTGCGAGTTGTGAGGCAGGTAGCGCATCATAATCTGGTAGAGGGTCTCTTCGGAGCACACCTCCAGGGTTACGGTGTTGCCTGCGTTTTTAAACGACGATTTTAAACGACGTACTGACATCTGCCCGCGGATTGCGTGAATACAGGTGTTTCGATTCCCAGTGGAGTTAAACTTTTGTACTTGGTTTGGTTAGTGGTAGGATTAATAGGGCTCTTTCAAATTCGTTTTGAGATTGACGTTTCTCGTCCGTTTGGAAGACCGCACACTCTGTTGGTACTTTGGTAGGTACCTAATTGACCGACTGCAAACGGACGAGAAATCTCTGTCTCAAAACGTCTAATTTGAAATAGTTCTTCTAATTCCGCTCGGGTTCTAATACCACCATTTTAATTATTCTGTCGCCATTCGCCATAGCAAAAAATTTTATCCCATTGCCAAGTTAGAGGCAAGTTGTGGTCAAAACAATTCTTACCAGTCAAAGTATTAGGGCATTTCTACGGGGACGACCGATCGACCTACTGGGGCGAAAAAATTACCTTTAAAATTGAAGTACGGACTTGAAAAAAATCACACGTATTTATAGGACTCTTGACTTGATGGAGAGCATATTTAGAAGACCGCCAGGCTTTACATCTCGCCTTGAAAAAATCCGAAAGTTCAAAAACGGGCGAAATTTGGCCTAAAATGGAGTGTCCGGTTTCCAGAATTTACTCGTTTTTGCTTCATAACTTTTGAAATAATAACTTCCCCGTTATGAAACCCACATT